CAAATACAAAGGTCAATTAAGATGATTGATAATACTGGACTTCTGGCCAAGATGGAGGCACTTTGCCTCCTTGCACAACTGAAAAAAGGACAATAACAAATTTAAAAACAGAAAATAACCAGACCTGACAGAAAATCAAACTGTATGGAAGTCCCACAACCAAAGAGTTAAAGAAGAAACATTCATTAGGCTGGTGGGAGGGGCGGAGACAGGCAGCAGAGGTGGAGAGGACAAGCAGCAAGGCAGTGGCTGGTTGGTGGAATATGTGTATATTCTAACACATACATAAGAACTTATATGTATGACCCATGGACATGAACTAAGGGGGAGGAATGATGGTGGGAGGGTACAGGGCAGAGGGGAATAAAGGGGAGAAAAAAATGGGACAACTGTAATAGCGTAATCAATAAAATATATTTTAAAAAACAGAAAAGCCCTGGCTGGCATAGCTCAGTGGATTGAGCGTGGGCTGTGAACCAAAGTGTTGCAGGTTAGATTTCCAGTCAGGGCTCATGCCTGGGTTGCAGGCCACGGCCCCCAGCAACCACACACTGATGTTTCTCTCTCTCTCTCTTTTTCCCTCCCTTCCCTCTCTAAAAATAAATAAAATCTTAAAAAAAAAGAAAAAAACATTTAAAAAGCTTTTTTCTTTACTTTTATTTTTATTCTGATCTATAAACTATAGCTTATTTTTAAAAGATGATAGTGTTATTCATATTTCCTGGTTTTACTGTTTTTCCTATCAACTATTGATAGAGGTATTAAAATTTACGATTATGAAATTATGTTTCTCCCTTTAATTCTGTCATTTTTTGTTTTAATTTCATATATTTTGAGGTTCTGTTACTAGTCACACAAACATTTATAATTACATCTTTGTGATGAATTATCTCCTTTATCTCTATAATACCAGGTCTGTTTCTGAATCTTCATTCTGTTTCCTTTATCTTTCTATTCATAATTTGCCAGTACAAATGCTTTAATTTGTATTAAGTGCTACCAACCAGTAGGACAAGCTTCCTTCCCAAAAACCAGTTGCTAAAAATTCCTTTGCTATGTTATCAGCTCATTTTTCTAGATACTATTTCAATTTATCAACTTCTAAAAAATCAATTATAATATTGATTGGAATTATGCATACATTAGACCAGGGGTGTCAAACACATTTTCACCAGGAACTACATCAGCCTCGAGGTTGCCTTCAAAGGGCCAAATAAATTTTAGCACTGTTTAAATGTAACTACTCCTTAACTGTTAAGGAGTTGAAATTACATTCGGCCCTTTGAAGGCAACCACAAGGCTGATGTGGTTCCCAGTGAAAATGAGTTTGACATGCCTGCTTTAGACACGCACTGGAAGACATTTTCATGAAATTGAGTCCTGTCGTTGGAAAATAATCTTTTTCATTTATTAAAATTTGCTTTTATATCTTATAAAAGTTTGATATTTTCAAATCCCTTAGCATAAATTTAAGAATAATGGGATCCTTTTTACATATCCTTGGCAATATTCCCCACTTTCTCAATTATCTGTGTACATTTTTATCTTGATTAAAATTGGTAATGTGTTCTCAGTGCTGGCTGCTTATCAGAATCACACTCAGCTTTGTCCAAGCACTCAGTTTGGAATTCTATCAAGAGTCCCCTTAGTACTTAATGCCCCAGCCAAGGACAAGAATAACCAATTTTTTTGTTCCTTTATGTACTTCTTATACCATTACTTATTTTTATGCTGATTTCTAACTAGGAAAATCTCTAGGTAATTTATTTTTCAGGTAGATTTTAGATGAAAATATTTCATATCACTGTCAATCTCAGGATGATTTTTTTCTTCTTACATGATCACCACCTTGTCTAGGTAAAAACATTTATAAATGATTTCCTTCAACCGAGATACTGTTTTATCACCTTCGGCATTCTGCAGTGCACAAGAGCAAGTCTAACCCAGGCAGTGTTTTTTCCCTTTCAGGCAAACCTTGTGCTTTTCTGCCTGATTAATGTTTTTCTGCCCTTAAAATAAATAACATTTAAGATTATTCTTAGTGTTGGCTGGTATTGCCCTGGCATTGCCCTTTTTAATCTAAAGATTCTGCTACATCTTGTTTGCAGCATCAATTCCATTTGTTCTAGTCTCTTTCAAAAAAATGAGTTTCTCTCCTAGGGAATCTCCATTCTGTATTGTCCATGTACATATATCTTTTCTACTTTATCAATGTATTCCCTTCCTCTGGATTCTGGGAGATCTTAATTTCGTTATGGATTCAATTTTTTAATAGTGTTGATTTTTCACTGTTACTTTAATATATGCTTTGTTTCTCCTAGTTCATTATAGATTCTCGTAACAACCATATTGAGTAGGTACCTAATATTATAGATAAGAACACTGAAGCAGAGAGCAAGGGACTTGTCTAAAGTTGTAGAGCTAGAAGTGGTGGACCTAGGACTCCCCCGCAAATTCTTGCCTCCCATATCTATGCCCAATATATGTTCTTTTCCTTAGCTTTGCAGGTATCCTCTCTCTTCATCACAATCTGGCTTACCTACCACTCAGTCCCTTCAAAGTCTATGTTTCCCTGAATTTTAAGACACAGAGCAGATGCTATCTAAAAATTACTTTCTAAAATTTACTTGTTTCTTATAATTTTGTCAGCTATATGTTGTTCCCTTGCATTTTAAATGTTATCTTCCTTTTTTTCTATGCTGCAACTCTTTCATAGGCCTTTTTTCTTCCCTTTCCCTTTTTTTTTTTCCTATCTTTGGATAGTAGGAGTCAACTTGTATCTGGCATTTATCCTAAGCAGGACAGGTGGAGTCTCCTCTAATATCTACTTCAGAGGGTTGCCATCAATATGCTTCTCTAATATGGGGAATCAGTGGGCAGAATGATGCACATTTACATCACTGTGCTCCTTTCAGCTGACAGTAAGAGAAGTCTGAGCTACAGCCCCTGCAAAAGATTGGAATCCAGACTCTGCCGCTTCCAAGTTATATATATTAGGGCTGATTGCTTCACTGCTCTACATCTTCACCAGTTCCATGAGGATAATAGCTACCTAACCCATGAAATAATTCATGTAAGGAACTTAGCAGTGCCTGGACAATCATGAACGTGTAATAAGTGACAGCTATCATTTCAATAATGATGACACTTTTTTTGGCTTTTTTTTTCCTATTTTTATGTCATTAGTTGATCTCACAAATGGGAGGTTGGGAGCCAGAGGCCAGTGCCGGTCTCCATGTTACTCAGAGCTCCCAGGAGAAATCTGCCAAGTGTCCAGTATGCTGGATGATTGTTTTCATGTGTATGCCCACATGTGTACAACTATTCTGTCTCTCCTATGTATCATACACCTCAAGGGAAAAGCCTGTGCTTCTGAAGTCCATTATTCTAGAGCCCCTTCAGTGTGTGTGGGAAGCCACGCACTGAGGGTGCACTCATGAAATGCTACACATAAACAGAATCAATGTGTCCATGGGCAGAAATGAACTCATTATCCCACAGTTAAAGAAACACATGTGAATATGACACTCTATGGATAGAGAAAATAGAATATTTTTGAGAGATCTTTTTAAAGAATTACAGAAGAAAAAGACTTAGAACAAAATACAACAGAATCCTGTTTCAAAACTACTCTTTAATACATAAAATCAAATGTTCTAATGCACATCAAACGATGTGTTCTGAAGCACAACATTTAGAGAGAGGAGATACTGTTATGACATAAACCTCAGAAGCTTTGCCATTATGAATGGAATTTAGATATTACATGTAAATATTCTATTTGTGGCCCTAAAATAACAAATGTATTTCACTTGTTCAAGTTGTAAATCATATTCTTCATGCTAAGTTTTCAAAAGTTTTTAGATTTGGGTAAACTGGTAGAATTTTCCAACAAAATAAATAACCCCATCAAAAAATATGTCAAAGTTTGTGACATTAGAATAAAGAGGCAACTTAGAACATATGTAGGAAAATATGTTTCCAATGATTAAAAGAGAAAAGATTTGATTTGACCATTGATTTTTAAAATAAATGTTTAAAAAATAGGCTTCTGTTGAGTGGTCAGTCTACTGACCACTGTCTACTTCTGGGGACCGAACAGTCTTGTACCAAGTGTGCCAGCAGGGATTCTACAGATACCTCCCTTCACATGTGCTGGACCAAATTTGTGTTCTGAAAATCATCGAATAGGTCTTTCCCCCACTTGCATATTATTCACATCATCATGACTGCACAGAAGTATTTCCTTAATTGGTTTTAATCATCTAGGACTTCTAACTCTTAACAAGAAAAAAAACCCAACATTAAACATCTTCCCTAAAAATGAACATAAAAGCAGTTATCCAAATGACCAAACAAACAAACCTCAAGAAAATGCAAGGTAGCTTCCTTGAAATGTTTTAACAGTTTAGGAATAATGTAGGTAGCCAATATGATAATTCCAGAAATACCTATTATTTGTAACTCAAGGAAAAAATGTGGAAACAGTGTTAACATAAGCATGCCTACGCAAAATTTTTAAAAAGTGAAAAACAAAGAAATAAAGGCAGTGTCTTGTCTACAGGAGATAATGTAACAGATAATTTCTGTGGACAGAGGTTGTGATTAAAAATTTAAAATACCCTCCCCTCTTATAGCTGCAGGAAACGTAAGTTGGCTTGGTTAAAAATAAAAGTCCCCAGGACATAAAGAAAGAACGATGGAGACAGTTTTGCTCTCAGTGCTGTGCCCTTTCCCAACTCCCTACAAAAACGCCTCCAGTCATGGAGGAGTAACTTACTAATCCTAAGAATTGCTGAGCATTAGCAAAAAATAAACAAAAAGATCTTAACATTCTCACCTTCTACCAGCTGAAATGGCTCTCTTGCTATCAACAATCAAGGGAAAAGGAAGGTCAAAGGTTGGAAAGCAGTCTTTATTCAAACTCTGCTGGTAATTTTATCACCATTAAATGTTCCCCAGTTCTTCAAAGAATGTATACCTGCTGCTTCTCCCCACAGCAAACCAGAAAATGGCTGCAGCTGCCAGAAAAAAATTCATTCCACAGATCACAGGGCAACCTTGGGAGAAAGCAGAGTCCCTGGCAGGTAACTTCATCATATGCTTGCATAACGGTGTGTGCTCTGTTGTGTGCAGATGTGCAAACTATGGGTTGGACACTCCTGGCTACTCTTAAGTCAGATGCACAAGGACCTAATAAGCAAAAGGTGAGGAAAAGAGCTGATTGTCTTAAAGCAACAGGCATATCTCAGCAGGACAAGTGTCATTTGCAGGAACAGGGTAAGACTCCATTTCAGATCATGGAATTTTGTCTCCTTTCATTGTATCTGGTACAAGGACAGCTGCGAAAATGCTTTATAAACCATCAAGTATGGTGCATAGGTTGGCTGATATTATTAACATGAAACTGGTCACAGGCCTGTTTGTGTTGGTTCACATCAGTAAAAATGCTCAACTATTTGTTTCTGCTAGACTTTTCTTTCTACATTTCATCATTTATTCAAGCAAGGTTTACGCATGGGCCATTTTCTCCAGCAACCAGCTGCCCTTCTCTTTATCATGCTGGGCATCTGTCAGCAGAATGGGAAGGGGTACTTAACTAGTCTGTAATATAGAATAAATTACAGAATACTGTAAACATGTGTTATACATTATGAAACAGTGGAATGTAGAGTATCCTCCAAAGGAGTTTAGGCCAAGATGAATGGTAATCATTTCCTGAATCTCCAACATGATTTATGACTGTCTGTGATCAATTTCTGAAGAGTAAACCTGAACTATAGTTTTAAAGTTTACTCTTTTAAGAATCCAACTTCTCTTCTCCAAGCTATGCCACCCACTTTCTCACTGAAAGAATTAGTGGCCTTAGACCAGATGACACTGCTCTTCTGCGTAGGCGGCACATTGCAGTGCTTGCTGGAATTTGCTGCAGGAAGGAGATCAGGACTCTTGTCATTCCCACCCCCTCTGCTCCGGAGCAGCTACTGAAGGCATCTGTTTTTGTCCTCTAACATCCTTAGTCTCCTGTTAACACTCCTGGAGAACACAAGGACAGTGAAATAAAGTTAGGGTGGGATTAAAGTCACTGACCTTGCAAAAATCATGCAGGCTCTCAAAACTATGATCAATTATAGGGAACTGTTACATGTAACTAAAGCCTGTGGTCACAGTCCCTCAGTCGGAGTAAATAAGGCTACCATTCATGTTAAAGGTAATAATTTCCTTTTTACCTTTGCTTTGTATACAAGATGGATCAGATTATGCTATGAAATGTCCCAGAAGACATACGTCCCCTAGGAGCAACAGGACTAGGAATGGGGTATCCAGACACACTTGTCACCCATTCCTGTGAGGGGCTGTACCCCCATGGGGCTAGCTGGCAGGAAAGGATTCATGTATAATTTTACTGCCTCTGTGCTACAGTAAATGTGCCAAATGGGAACAACATCCAAAACCCTGGTCACAGCCCCACATTCATAACAACTGACCTAAATGCACATCCGAATTTCTGAAAGAGGATCTGCCAGAGTACACACAAGACATCATGAGAGCTGTCTGAGCTGACTCGGTACAGCTATGCACTTATAAGATCCCTCTAAAATAATATCGTGCTTGAAAGTGAACATACAGACTGTTTTGCCTGTATAATCTATTTTTAAATATTGCTACCAGGCACGAATACTTGCAGCTAGCTGTGTTCGAGAAGTAAAGGATAACATGTACTTTCTTGAAATTAGGCCTCGTATCCACAGAGACATTTCATACTCCATTTTTGTGGAAGAGTCCACAACAATGACAAAAAAATCAATTTATTGAAGGAAAAATCTTAATAGCCCATTTCCAAAATAATTCTTCCTGAAGCTGAATTAGGATTCAGTAAGTCTTACTTTTATTAGTATTTCCTAGTGTAAAAATGACCTTAAACAAAATATTTTTAGATGCACATGACACACATGAACAGGCAATCAAATTGTCTTTATATCATGAAGGATAATAATCAAATAAATGCACCCTTAAAAGTGTCTATGTTATAGTGTTTTTTGTTATGATCCTGTTGGGCCACAAAGTCACACTAGAAGTCCAGCATCAAGGGCTCCCTGAGTATCTTCTAAGGTCAAGAAATTCATCAGCACTGTGACATACTAAGAATCTACTCTAGGATTAATAAGCCCATTAGCCAACATGTGAGTTAAAAGACCAGAGACACATGAGAACACACTATGCATGGTTCTCTATTTCTTTTCTCTCACTTTTCAAGTGTGAAGATTTTGAAATTAAGATTTGGGAAAGAGAGTAAAAAATTAGAAATCCAAACATAGAGCCACTGGGAGGCATGTTGTCTTCATGGTGACACATTATTTGGAGGGAGAAGAGCCCCCAAAAGGCATGAAAGCTGCTAACCAGCTGATGGTTTTGCTACAGCACTGGACTAGTTTTTCCTTCATTACAAAGGATTCATTGGTAGAATAAACCACACTCTTCACTGAATACATGGCCCTGGAGGCTGCCTGCTTCTCATAGGAAATAAACACCTCTCATCCTGAATTAATTGAAAAAGTAATGATTGTTTTTGTTCAACAAGGTCATAAATGGAATTTATATTTGAACTACCCTTTGGGGATGGATAGCTTAGATTAATAAATGGTCAAAGAATCTTATTGGCTATAAAAAAGCTAATGATGTTTTCCACATGTAAACTTTTTTTTTAAAGTAATGACTGTTAAGGTATAAATCAAACTGTGGATAAAATATTTACTGGTTGTTGTATCTTCATATCAAACACTTGGGGAAAAATAAAACAAAAACGGCTTATCTAAGAGTTTAATATCCCCCACACCCCACTTCACTAAAAAATTTTCTACAATCCAGGAGGCCTTGAATTATGTGAATGAGCAAAAGGATCAGAGCTTACCATTTATTAATGTCCTTGGCCTCAACAACCTTCACTAAACTCTCCTCAATATTCTCATGTCCTGGTATTGCCACAGATAGTCAGGGAGTGTCAGGGAGTTTCCTCTATAGGCCCAGATGGTACAGGGGGAGGTTCTTACAGTGAGTGCACCAAAAACTAGAAAGTTGAATGAACAGGACCCAAGTACACCAAAAGCTAGCCAGATAATAGGATAGAAAAAAAGGCCTCCCTCCTTATCCTTATAAGAACTCTGGGCTTGAGCAGAAAGGGGAATGGACTTTAACACAGGAGTCCCCCATTCTTCCAGGTCACAGCACCTGAATAAACGTCTTTCCTTCTGTACCAGTACCTCTATCATGGGTTTGGCTTCCACTGTAGCAGGCAGCTGAACCTGTGTTTTGATTTCAGTTTTGGGTGACTCCACTGGGACAGTATGGACCTTGGTAAGTCCTGGAGGGCCTGAGGTGGGGTCCCAATTGCCTGTGGCAGGCTGACCCCAGAAATGGGACTATGGGGACTTCCAGCAGGTGCTGAGAGCTTTTTTCAGGGAATTTTCCTGCACTCCTTGTCAAGGTGTCAGCCACCTGAAGCACTTGGCTGGTGAAAGAAAATAGTTTTCTGGGGAGCAGGGAGACTCCAAGACTGCGTAAGTCGAACTAGTGTACACACTGGGGGTCCTCCATCCCTGCCAATTGGGCTTTGCGCTACTTGGAATTCATGCCATATGGGCTTGATGCAACTTGAGTCTGGGTAGGACCATTTGGGGCACCAGTTGGTAGGCTGTTCGTGACAACTGAGCTTCATGCCACTAGGGCTTTGTACCACTTAGGAAGAGTTAGGATCATTTGCACTACTGGTTAGTAGGCTATCCCTGCTTCCTGGGCTTCATGCCACTTGGGTCTGGTCAGGAATGCTTGCAGTATTGGTTAGCATGAGATAAGATGCTATGACTTGCTTGTGAATGCTCATTTGGGCTAACAGAATTAATAAATCCAAGTTTTGTTCGTATTTGCCACTTAGTCTAGGGTCTTTCTCTGCTTATGATTTTGGGTTTGTACTTTCATGCCCTCAGGGGTTGTTCAGGTTTAACTCCTGAAAGGAGTTCAGCTCACTGGGCCAAATTTTAGCAAACCAGTCTATGTACAGCTATGATTCAATGACTGAGGAGCAAATGGTTTTTTATCATAACACTTCTTAGCCTATATATGCTTTAAACTATGGAGGGAAATGACCCCTAAATAGTTCCCTAAATTAGTACATAACCATACAATTGGAATTGTTTTGCTAACAGTCAGGGAAATGGGACGAAATACCTTATGTCCAGGCATTTATATTTTTACACAATAAGGATTCAGCAAAGAAAGGGAACAACCTAATGATGCAGAGGAGGGAAATGGACTTAAAACCCCTGTCTGATAGTAAAACACAGTAACAGAAAGAAAATGGGGCGATGAGTCTCTTTAATGCCTTGAACCCAGGAGACCCAGGATTAGTAGTGGGAAGATTTCCCCCACCACCACCCCAGCTGCTAGATACCCCTGAAATAGAGCTCAGAGAGGTGACAGCCCCATGTTTCTATGATGAAGGAATGGTCTCTCCCTCAAACACCTGGCAGGGGACCCAATTTCCCCATCTCTATCCAGACCAGGGCAATTCCCTTTAAGGCAACACCCTATAGGCAGAATAAGCCAGCCCGCTGGCCACTACCGGGCCCCTACTCCATTTTCCACATCAGATTTACTGAATTAGAAAATTCCAACCTCTCATACAGGGAGGATTCTCAGAAATGGCAGATCTTATCACCTCCATCTTTGCCACTCATCATCTAAACTGGGAAAAGGTACAGGTTCTCCTTAATATCCTGTTAACAGGAGATGAAGGCAGCTAGTCAGAGATAAGGCTCATCAAGAGAATCCCAATGTGACCCCCAGCCCAACTGAGGTGATTCCCTTGATAGAGCCAAACTGGGACCAAAGCAGTGGGGACCTAGTCTGTCTACAACACTGCAAATGTGCGTATTAGAAGGGCTGACAAAGGGGTGCCCAAACAAAAGAACCCGAATATGATATTAGCCATTCAACAAAAACAAATGAAGACCATTCTGAATTTTTAGAAAGGATCTATCAGGCCTATCTAAAGCACACTGACGCTGATCCACAGGCACCAGAAAATGTCTACATGGTAAACATGACTTTTATTGGGCAAGTGCCTCAGACATCAGAAGGAAGTTCTAATGTTTAGATGGGGCATTGGAAGTGAATCCCTCCCAGCTGGTGGACATAGCCTTTGAAGTTTACCATGGCCGAGAAACAAGGAAATAAATACAGGCCACCGTTTTCAAAGAAACAGTGTGGGGGAAACCAGGAGAGGTGGGACCCAAAAGAAAAAGGTTTCAAAAGACCTACTAGATGCCAATCAATGAACCTATTGCAAAGAGGAAGGGTATTGGAGAAAGGTTTGCCTGGACTCAAAAAGAAGAATATTGATAGAAAGGACAGAAGCTCTTGCCAAGAAATGTTAGAAAGAATGATGAATCTGATGATGAATGAGGAGGCCCAGGGACTACCCGTGATACTTCTCAAGTTATTTCTATTTTCCCACAGGTGCCCTGAGTACAAGTGACAGTGGAGAACAAGCTAATTGACTTCCTTACAGATGTGGGAGGTCACCTAATCAGCACTTAATACAAAACTAACCAGGAAAAGTTCAGCTGTGGTGTCAGTTACTGGAATGAACAATTACAAAAATAGGTGTTCCTTCAACCTTTGAATGCTAGTCTGGGGATCAGAAACTTTTGATTAGTTTTCTTTACATGCTAAACTGCCCCATTCCATTGCTAGGCCAAGATTTACTTTGTAAATTGCCTACACAAATAACTTTTTCCCCTGAGAAGTAGGAATTAATGTTTAGGAGTCCCTTGGGAACATGCTCTCCAGTTCCAGGTGCTCCAAACTTGCCCAAAAGGACTCAGGTGAAATCTTCCCACATGAGATCTACAAGCAGGTTGCTAGAGCCATTTGGGCTGATGCAACCCCAGGTAGGGCAATTAACACCCAACCTGTAAAAATTAACCTAAAGAAAGGGCATGGATCCCACTAAGAAATAACACCCTCTTAAAAAACGCTTTGGAGCACAGGTGGCAAACACAAGGCCCACAGGCTGAATCTGGCCAGCCCTCTGCCTTGTTTTATCTGGCCCGGCACCTTGTTTCTACCTGGCAGCAGTGCTGAGCTCCTTGACCCTAGTTAAGGAGTAGTTACATTTATACAGTCCTAAAATTATACCTGGCCCTTTAAAGGCAACTGAGAGGGTGATGTGGCCCCCGATGAGGGGATTCAACTAGTATTGTGGAAATTCTTAAAATCAGGATTAACTTGACCATGTCAGTCTCCCTATAACACCCTCATTTTGCCAGTCAAAAAGCCTCACACTGAAGAACATCAATTTGTATAGGGCCATAGGGCCATAAATAACATTGTTTGGGATATTTATCCTACTGTGACCAACCCTTATACTTAGACTACCTAGGAGATAGCAAATGGTCTTCAGTCTTAGACTTGAAGGATGCTTTTTTTCTGCAACCTAATAGATGAACAGGCTCAAACATTATTTGCCTTTGAATGGCAGGACCCAGAATTTAAAACCCCACTCTGATACTGTTGGACTATTGTTACAGAACACAGGGCTAGGGCGGGGGGGGGGGGGTTACGATATACTATTACCAAAAGGATCCCCCACTAGGTTCACATCGTCTACTGTAGAGGAAAGACGTCTCTCAATACCAGAGATTCATGAAAAGGAAAGGAAATGTTTATCTCAAGCTATACAGACTTAAAGTAGTGACTTAATGTCTGCATTAAAATATCAAAGTCCTTTAGGATACCCACAGATGCACACAGTGCCTTCTTCTCCCTCTGCCCTAAACTGGGTAGCATATCTCAGGAAAAGAAGTAGATTCAGGCTCCTGACACCATCAGCTGTGTCGTAGGCTAGGACCAAGCAGCATGGTTCTCCTCTGCAAAGCTGTGGGGGTCTCCATTCTGCCAAAGCCGTATGGTTCTCCCTGGCAAAGCTGCAAGGGGGTCTGCACTCTGGCTAAAGCCACATGGTTCTCCCTTAATGGCTGCCACTTCTGGGTTTAAATTCTCGCACCAATCCTCCTCTGCAGCCCCATTTCTGACTCCTCCCACAATCAGCTACACTTGCCAGCATTCTCATATCCTTCTAGCTTTACTGGGCTGCCATCGTGAGTCTGGGCAGGCGTGGCCCCATGGCATGAAGCCAATCTTCTCCAAGCTCTCACGCAGGTGCTGTAACTAGGGGAGTTGCCTCTCAGTTACACCTTGGGAGGAAGTCACTCCCATCCCCCTAACTCAAAGCATGGCCACAGCTATTTAACATATCTGTGAAACCAGTTAAAGGTTATAGATATGTTAAATGACCATGCCAGAGGTTAGCTGCAAAGCTGTTGCTATGCAAAATAGCTCTGCATGTTCCTGCTCTGTCTGTCCCTTTCCCTGTGAGGGAAGTGGTGAGGACATCCTAATATTTCCTGGACACCTTGAGTTCTGAACCCCATTCCAAATCCCTATTTGGGTCCTCCCTCTTGGCTGCACAGTTTCACTGTGTCACCAGAAGGATTTAAGAATTCCCCCACAATATTTAAGGAAATATTAGCAGAAGATTAAGGGACATTAAATTTAAATCAAGAATTCTTCTATAATATGTAGATGACTTAACACCTACACTGACTATAAATATGTCTTCATGGTAGTAGTCCGTGCTCATGGGGCAATATGGAAAGAAAAAGGACTCAGCCTCAGGGAATAAGGACATCAAACAACCATACTGCCATAATGCATGCCCAGGACACGAGAAAGATGGTTCCCAAACAAGCCAGGGAAACCAAACTGCCAACAAAGGAGCAAGACAAGGCACCCGAGGGCCATACTATAAGATGAGGAATAGGCCCATGAATCAGGGTTCTCTAACACTAACCCTAATTCTATATGGAAGGTCAACACTGATGGCATGATCTTACTCCCTGAAGCTCTAGTATATCCCATCCTCAAACACCGACATGAAGGGATGCATTATGGAAGGGATGATTTAAAGACCCTAATTAGACCACATCTGAAGGACTCTCATTTACAAAGAACCACTCAAAAGATTATCCAAGACTGTCACATATGCAACGAAAACAATTCCAAGATAGAATGTGCCCCAACAAGAAAGGGAGTACAATATAAAGGGATATCCCACTTGAAGACTAGCAAGTTGACTTTACACAGATGCCTAAAACAATAGGAAAATTTAATTTTTATTAGTTTTTATAGACACCCTTCCTGGATGGGCAGAGGCATACCCCACTAGAACTGAAAAGGCAACTGAGGTAGCAAACCTTCTACTCAAATAAATAATTCTTCAGTTTGAACTTCCTTACAGCATTCAAAGTGACAATGGGCTGTTGTTCACTTCAGAAATCTCCCAGAAGATAGGACGGGCACTACAGATTCAATGGGAAATGCATGCATCTTGGAGACCCCAATCTATATGGAAGACTGAGAACATGAACCACAAAATAAAGACCATGACAGGAAACACATTTGAAATGGGACCAGGCACTGCCTATTACCTTGCTCCAGATTAGGGATGAGGTCACTTCCCAAAGCTAAGTGACAATGTTACATTTTATTTTATTTATTTTTTTGACAGTTGCTACCTATAACACCTTTGTCCACATTTCCCAGACAGTGGCTTTCTTGGCAAACTTAACCTGCTGTTGGGTATGTCACCCAAAGCCCCACTCCGGGTTAGATCATGAGGATCCTTTAGTCTCTCCAGTTTCTGATTTCACTATAATTTCCCCTGCACAACTAGGCATACTCCTCACTAAATACTTGATTCTTTGTCTACACAATAGGTCTCACTTTGGAAGCCCATCTGCAACACTGCCTCTTGAAATATGAAGCAGTCTACCAGTTTCGCTTGTTCTGCAGCGCCATCCTCTAAACATCGCCTGTTCTGCCTTCCAAAGTCAGCCATCCTTCCTCCTCACATAAAGCTTTCCTTCCATTATTGACCCCCTTCTCCTTTTAGTAGACAGCAAGAATCTCTGGACCCAGGGATAGATAAGACCATGCCCCTTGACAACAGGAAGAAACTATATATGATAAGGCCTCTATCTATTATCCTTGCAAGATTAGAAGAGTCCAGAGTTTTGAAGGGAAGAACTGCTACTACAGATAATCAAGGAGCACTGAGGAGTCTCCCCCATCAGCAAAAATGGAAGAGGGGTAGGTTCTTATACTGAGTGCACCAAAAGCTAGAAAGATGAATGTACAGGACCTGAGAGTGCCAAAAGCTAGCAAGACAATTGGATAGAAGAAAATGTCCTCCCCTCCCTATTCCTTTAAGAACTTTGAACTTGAACAAGAAGGGGATGGTCTTTAACAGAGGAATCCACCATTCTCCCAAGTCACGACACCTGAACAAACCTCTTTCCTTTTGCACTAGTACCTGTCTCACGAGTATGGTTTTCATTGAGGTAGGCAGTTGAACCTACATTTTGGTTTCTATTGGACTCCATCATGACTACACAAAGATCTCAGTGCCTTCCTTTTCCCCCAGTGAATCTCTCACTCAAACACTTCTCTCCATTCAGTGTAGAGCTCATGTTTCTCCAGGTCCTATGTCTTCAAACCATTATTTATCAATATTGTGTGCTTGCATCTACCCAGAACATTCCATCTATGCTTTGCCAGGAGGCTGAGCAGTGTTAAAGCACACAACTGCATATTTTAAAGCCAACACATATTTGAAGTCTACAAATTCATCTGACCCAAGACTTCTACAGGTCTAGTTCATACTGGCTAAAGGAGTCTTATCCTCCCACAGGGACTTGGTTACATGGTAGACATTCCAAAACTTCACTATGTTCCTACCCCATCTTTAGTCTCATGACATTCAAACTTGCTTTCCTCCTGCTGCTGGTATTCACTTTTTATTAGTACTCTCAAAATCCTGTTTTCTCCCTTATTATCTTTCTGACAGGAAACTGTCTCTAAGGTTAATTCATTCTATCTATGCTTCACATTCCATTCCTACTTTTATCTCAAAGCTGCTACAATCAGTACTCTGTGACCAAAATTACTTTTTCCAGGCCCTTAAATTCAACTGCCTGCTAAATTACTTAATCTGTATGTTTCAACAAGACCAGAAAACTCAGTAAGTCCCAAACAGAACTCTTCACCTTCCCCACCACACACCTTTTACCTCACATATTCCCTGCCTTGGCTGTGGCAGCACCACCCTACAGCTCACCTGAAACCTGAGTGTCAACAGAGCTACCACTTTCAACCCTCTCACACCCACAACTGACCAGTAAAAGCTTAACATTGCTACACCCTAAATATCGCTCCTATGTGTCCTCTCCTCTTTATTCTAGCCATCACTGCCTTACTCTAGCCCCTTGTCATCTTTCCCAGTAACACTTGCAAGAGTCTCCTCATCTTCACATCTCCAGACCTGACACCCCTCAATCAATCTTCCTCTTTGTTTAGGAGAAAGATTACCCTGAAATACAGGTCTAAGTTATTATTGAATTGCTCAAAATCTGTCAAGAGCTCTTTATTACTTCCAATGCTGTTACAAAACCATCAGCTATTCGGTGGCTCTAATGCCCTCCTGGGGCTCTTTTCCCTCCAATT